TTTCTCTAGGGGAACTGATCTCTGTCATCTGGAGATCAATTGTAGCAGTGGGAGATCTCCAGGTCCCACCTGGAGATTGGCAACCCTAGGGGAAAGTCAGCTGCACAGCAGGGGGTTGAAGAGAATGGTTTGATGGCTGCTGGGCCAAGATTGGCAACAATAGTTCCCCAGGAGCCCCATCGTAAATGCACCAAACAATTCCTCAAGATTTTCCGAAACACTACTCTGTTTTGGGCTCCTGGGGAACTTTGAAGTAGCACCAAAGCTTTAAGATCTCTCCAGCTGTCACCTGGAGACTGGCAACAGCTTGTCTGGAGTGTGGGCAGCATGGCATTGTATCTGTCTGAGGTCCCCCTCTTCCTCCTCCTCCTCAGATCCCACCCTCAGCAGGCTTCATCCCTAAAATATCCTGGAAGTTTCCAACCTGGAGTTGGCAACCCTATGTCCTGGAGTTCGAACCTGGAGTTGGCAACCATCAGCCAACGTTTATCTGCCTGTCTGTCTTTACAAACCCCCCCCCCACACACACACACACAGCCTCTGCCTAGGGAGCAGCTGACATCATTCTCCTCTCCCAACTGAAAATTCCAACTGCCTTGGGGGGGGGGAGTTTGAGGTGTGGAATGGAGTGTAGTCCAATCAGCTTCCATATGTAAATGACCTTGGAACGCTGGCCGGGACTGCACAAAGCAGCCAATGAACCCAGCCAGTGTCTTCCGAGTGGCAGTTTTTTCGGCCTAACACTAAAGGGGCCAATTTTAGAATTCTGGCACCCACTACTCTTTTATAATAAGGGAGAGATATTTTATGTCCCACCTGTGCACATTCAGGTCTTCTAGGTGGTGGACGAGGCAAGTTCCCCCGTCAGCCTTTGCACCCCAGTCTTCCACCCTGGAGCGAGGCAAGTCCTGATGCAGTGTGGCAAAGGCCAAGGACAAGCCATCTCTTCGGCCTAGTCGGGAGCATGGCAGGCCCCGAGGGGACAGAGGGTCACGTAGTTCTTCCTACAGACAGCTGGCTTGGTGGCAGTTAGAATCCATGTAATCCCTAAAGATCTCTTTGTTAGACCAGCTCTCCATAAATTTGTCTAATTCTTCTGCCAGCGCTGTCCGAAGACGTTTCCGTGGTCATGTGTGAAGCTAGCCACCACAAAGTAATTTAAGCTTAGTTCTAGAAGATTCCAAACAGGCACAGGGACGCCAGTGGACTGCCTGCACAGAGACCTCGAAGAAGTGCTGGAGATCATTCATTGAAACGGATTAGAACAGCTGGATTTGAGTCCAGCAACACCTTCGACCCAGTTTGGTGCAGTGGTTAAGTGCGCGGACTCTAATCTGGGAGAACCGGGTTTGATTCCCCACTCCTCCACTTGCATGTGGCTGGATGACCTTGGGCAAGCCATAATTCTGACAAGAGCTGTCCTTGAAAAAAGAGCAGTTTCTGTCGGGCAGCAGCAGGCAATAGATGGCATCAGAATTGGCAGGGGTTTGAATTCTGATCTCTCAAGTCCAGCTCTCCTATTTTAAAGAAACCGGCTGCTCAGAAAACTTTAAATTTGGACTACTATCACATTGTCAGAAGTGTTTGTGTATGGCAGTGGGGCAAGTGGGAAGGATTAATGAACTTAAAATGAATTAAAACATCTTTTGGAGAGGTACATGCATGCCCGATTCTTTCCTTAAATAAATTCCTTTCAAGGACATAGAAACAGGTTCCTGACTATGAAAGTGGCGATCGCAGTCACAGGGGGAAGCACAAACCAGATGACTGTTTGCATATTCAGGACTTCCTGATCGGTAGCATTCAATAGCAGCATATCCCAAATAAACCCATTTATTGTTGGTCTTAGTCAGGCCTAGCTTGTTAATAACGAAAGCATAATATGGAGCTCTTTCTGAGAAAAAGTTCGAACGTGTTTGCTTTATCCTAAGTGCCCTTTCCATGGAAAAATAATCCCACGGGATGAACTCGGAAGCCCTGTTAATCCGGAGGACAGAGAGAGGGAAGCAAAGAAGCAGTTTGAGCAACAGGAGAAGCAGCCAGGTTTGTATGGGTCGAGAAAGAGAGATCTGTGGTGGCATTGTGTTGGAATGAGGTAACCTTTCAGCTTTGTTATAAGGGTTATTAATTCAGTAAATGGGGGCTAGTAAGAAGGCAAACTTTGTGGGCTCTTGGTTTAGTTTCAGCAGATGATGAATGATTGCTTTCAGCATGAGGCAGTTATCTCAGTATGCTCAGAATTCTCTGGCTCCGATGGTACATCCAACCCAGACAAGTTTTACCTTCCCCTGCTTCCTTCCCCCACTACACTTGTCCCCCTCCTCCTAGGGAGATTGAGCAGCACAGTGTACTCTGGGTAATGAATATGTGTTCCAGAATGCATAAGATTACATAGCAGTACTTCTCAGAGAGCACTGGGCACACTGACCTAGCAACCATTGGGAGGAGGGTGGAAGGAAGAAACTGGTTTCCTTCTCCTTGCTGACCTGTGGCTTGCCTCTCTCCACTGTTTCAGAGTTCTGGGTAAAGGGTTGGAGGTCTCTAGAACTTCCAGATCAAGGGAGGTGGTCGTTCCGCTCAATTCTGCTATGGTCAGGCCTCACCTGGAGTCCTGTGTCCAGTTTTGGGCACCACATTTTAGGAAGGATGTTGACAAGCTCGAGCGTGTCCAGAAGAGGCCAACCAGGATGGTGAGAGGGCTGGAATCCAAGTCTTATGAGGAAAGGCTGAAAGAGTTGGGTATGTTTAGCCTGGGAAAGAGAAGGCTTAGAGGGGACGTGATTGCAGTCTTCAAGTATTTGAAGGGCTGTCATGTAGAAGATGGAGCGGATCTATTCTCTCTTGCTCCGGATTGCAAGACTAGATCTAATGGGTGGAAATTACAAGGGAGTCGTTACCGGCTAAATATCAGGAGAAACTTCCTCACTGTAAGAGTAGTTGAGCACTGGAACAGTCTGCCTCGAGAGGTGGTGGATGCTCCTTCGCTGGACGTTTTCAAGCAGAGGCTGGACGACCATCTTTCGCGTATGTTGTAGATATGTAGGGCTATCTTTCAGTATACTCCTGCAGGAGTATATTTCAGTATACTCCTGCAGTATACTCCTGCAGAGTGCAGGGGGTTGGACTAGATGACCTGCAAGGTCCCTTCCAACTCTAACATTCTATGATTCTGCTGTTGTTGGTTAGTCTTAGTCCATTCTCTTGTTCATCATCACTTTATCATGCAGGTTTTGAGGGATTTTTGAATGGGGTCTTAGAGATCCCTCATTGGTAGTAATGAACTTGAAAATGCTTTGCCCCTGGTCTCCCTGCTAATGATGAGCACTCAGATGCAAGGCATTTTGGAGATTGAATTACTTGCATCCGCTCCAGCTTAGATTCCAGACATGGAACAGGACAGCCTGAAAATGCTACCAGTTGTTTAAATGGATTTCAGTTGTTTCAGCTTGATAGCTGTTTGAAGAGGTACAACTTTTCCAGTTTCTCCCATCTTGACTAGCGGTGTGCATTCAATAAAGCTGAACTTAAAAAAACAAAGAATGTATTTTTGGCATTTTTGGGGTATTTGGCAAGCTGAATCAGAATCTCTGATTTGATTTGACTGCCGAATATAGAATGCTCTGTTTTCCAGAAGGGAGGGGGAAGAGGGACTTTATATACAGCCAATCACTGTAGTGCATTTGCAAATGGCATTGCAGCTGTCAAGGCTGTTGCTGGCTTCAAACTTGAAGGGACAGGAGGGGGGAGGAGTAGTGGCCAGTAGGATTACAGGTAAGGGTGGGCACACTGCTCTTCGGCCAGTTACAGAAGTTTGTTCTTTTTTGAAATTCTTCTTTGTATGGTCAGAGAGCATAAAAGCTGGCTGACTCCATTCCAAGAGAGCTTGGTTGGAGCTTCAGCTACTGCTCTGAGCATTAATTTCCTGCTGCCTGAGAGACTAACTTGGACTACTTTTAATCAAGATCCTGCCTGCTGGAGAATAGAAGACTGAAGACATCCATTGGTTTGACTGGTTAGGGCCAGTTTTTACAAACTTTTTCATTTTGTTGTGGGCTGGTGGGTTGGGGCCTGGGGTTGGTTCTGGTGGGCACATTGCACTGGTTCTGCTGCTGGCCTTGCAAGCATGCCCCCTCACACCAGAACCACACCCCACTTAGTTTCTACTGCAGAGATTCTCTGGGAGAAACTGCTGGGCTGTTGTTTTATCGGCCTGCCTTTCCCCCCCACCATTGGAAACAATGGAGAATGGGGGCACCCTCTTTGGATGCCCTTGGAATTGGACCCTCCAGTCCAATCTTTTTCATACTTGGGGGTTAGTTTGGGGAAAGGTTCGAGCAGCTACAGTACAAATTTGGTGCCTCTACCTCAAACCCCCTCCCCCCCAGCCTACTAAATACTTCTTAGAAAAATTTGCCATTGACCACAATGGCCCCATAGGATATAATGAATATTTATCTGGAAAGAATATTTATTTACCTGGAAAGAATATTTCCAGATACCAATATATTACCAGTATTGGTATTTGGGAATACTGGAAAAATCAGCTTCATTGTACCCAAATGGTCTTGAATGGGCCATAGAGAAGCAACCCAAATTCTTGTGGTAAGATTTACCAAACATATGTAAAATATATAAGTTCTACATGAAAAGGAATAATTTTTTGGGAATAAATTTTATGCATTTCTTTATTTGGAAAGTTTTCTCCAGAGAAGCTGCCCAGGGTGGCTTAAAAAATAAGGCATAACAATAATATTAAACATATAAAGTTGTTAATTAAAACCACCATTAGAAACCCAGCCAGAGCAGCATAGAATCGTAACACACCGAGCAACTTAAAAATGAACCAAACAGTTTTGAGGCTAAAAGCACGCTATAGTAAGTTGTGTCAAAAGATCAGGTCTTTGATTTAAAATCCTAGTATTTATTTATTTATTTTATTATATTTATACCCCGCCCTCCCCGTGGACGGGCTCAGGGCGGCTAAAGTACCTAAAAGAGCGCGAGCAGCAGATGTTTCCAGTGAGCTGCAAGGGGAAGGGGCGTTTCATAAGTGAGGCCCCGGCATCTCTGGTGTCCCACCCGCCTCAGTTCTGAACACGGGGGTGCAGAAAGTAGGGATGGTGAAGGGGGCTAAGTAGCTTGGTCATGTTTAGTGAGATTCAACCCCCACCCTCTTCTTCCACAGAGTAGAGGAAGTAGGGTAAGTGTGTGTCTGTATAAAGTGCCCTCAAGTCATAGCTGACTTCTGGCAATGCCTCATGAGGTTTCCAAGAGGCGTTCAGAGGTGGTTTTGCCGTTGCCGAGTCTCTCTGTATAGCAGCCCTGGTCTTCCTTGAGGGCCTCCCATCCAAGGACTAATCTGGGCTGACCCTGCTTAGTTTCTGAGATCTGATGAGATTGGTCCAGCGTGGGACGTCCAGGTCAGGGCATCGGACAGGGAGAATGGGGCAGAAGTTGAAGTGTCCTTCCCCCTCTTCTCCCCACCCCATTCCCTCAACCTCTTGGGCTGGGGTTGTGCGTGTGTGTGTGGGGGGGTCCCCTCTTGTACTTTGTGTTTTCTTGGCAGAACAGTACAGCAGCTCTGTTGCTAAAGATTAATAATGATAAAACCTCCCTTTTTGTTTCTTGACACTTAGTTGACAAATATTACACGTGAGTGAAGTGGCCGCAGAGCAGAGCTTCAGGCCCTGGCTCCTGAAATCTTGAGGGATTGGACTGATTTGCTAATCTGCGGTGTTCATCCTGTTACAATAGTTCACACTGGGGAGCAAATTAAGTACCTATTTTTGTGTCAGCCCTGAAGAATGTGTGGTTTTCCAACCCTTAGTGACTTGTTAACAAACAGGTATCAGGACAAGGTAGCAAAGGCAGCCCCTGGCCAGTCAGATGTGAAATAGTATCTCTTTACTAACTACAGTATTGATTCTACCCTGCCGGTACAAACGGTGTAATTTTCTTTTCCCTGCTGCTAAACCAGTAACAATGTATGAAGAGCTTTAGGGGCCCGTCAGCGCTCTTCCCTGGCAGTCTATCGATTTTCCTCAAAGGCTTTTAAATTGCCCCTTCATTTTACTCAAATGCTCATTTCATCTCTACTGAACACCAGCATTTTTTTGTTGTGTTTAAACAATTGCGCCATTCACTGGGCTCCTAAACTGTGACGCCGTCTTATTTGCTGGAAGATAAACTGTTTAGACACTTTTTGTTAATCTTAGATTAATCGTTCCTGTATCTGAATTGTGCTGCTCTATATTCCTTCACTTCAAAAAACAAACTCTCTGAAGTCTTCTGATCCATCTCTGACGGGTGCGTTTTATTTCGCCCTTCTGTACTTCCCTTGAATTTCTTTGAAGCTCATTTTTCCTCCCACTTGTTGTCTCACTGAAGTTTTAGTCTCTCTCTTATTGCCATAAATGAAACTAATAGCCTGACTCTGTCCTGCCGGTTAGAGTTTCTTTAATCCTTTACCCAGTGTCTTCTGTGTGAAGTAGCTTAATTTGATCCTAGTTGGGAAGCTTGAATTTGGTTTTCGTTATCGGCCGTGACTGTTGAGGTGATATGAGCATGTTAACAAGATATGTGCAAATCTTAATGCATCTTTAGGGAATTTTGCTGTTCCCATGAGACAGCAAGACATGGGAATCGGAGACTGAATAGCACAATCATTTTTGTGAGGCTTCCATCAAGTTTAGAATCCGTACAGAAAACAGGGGTGTGTTGTACAGATCTTACTGATTTTTTTTTTTTTTTTACCCCGCCCTCCCCACCAAGGCGGGCTCAGGGCAGCTTCCACAAAGCTGATACAGTATACATTTTACAATTGATAAAGTAGAAGACATCATTTAAAACATATCTTAGGGTGAGCATTCAGAAGTTCAGGGGCAAATGCAAGTTTAGGCAGTCCCTTCTCCCCACTGTTTATAGCTGTGAGATCTGTGCAGGAGATTATGGAGGGTACAATTCTATGACCCCGCCCCCCCCCCGGCCTTTGAAAAAGCCTTTTGTGAGAAAGCGGGTGTTTGTTTTATTGATTGTCATTATGTGTTACGAGATTATTGACAGCAGTATGCTACTGCAGCGTGTAATGGGTGCCTCCCCCAATCTGGGCCACACAGCAGGGTGGTGCTGGGTATCTCTGTTCAGAGCACAGACTTTTCATCATTGTTATCAGCTTTTGTTACGAGATATGTTTAAGGTATCAATGAACTGAGGATTGCCATGCATGGATATGCAGTCTGTTTGTGAAGTACTTTGTTGTCATCTGTTGCTACTAGTAGACTACTAGCTTTTTGTTACCTATATATTGAACCCTCAAGTTATACTAAATGAGCAACTCTGGGGGTCGGTGCTCATCTCCATTTCCAAGCTGAAGAGTCAGCGCTGTCCAAAGACGTTTCCGTGGTCATGTGGCCGGCATGACTAAACACCAAGGCGCACAGAACACTGTTACCTTCCCACCGAAGCGATACTTACTTATCTACTTGCGATTTCTTGCTTTTGAACTGCTAGGTTGTCAGGAGCTGGGGCCAGAGATGGGAGTTCACTCCGTCACGTGGCACTCAGGTCTCAAACTGCCAAGCTACAGACCTTCCGGTCTGCAATAATAGTCAGAGGTTAATGTCTGACATAGGATTTATATATGCCCTTTCTGCTGCCCCAGGGATATTGTGAAATATTAGTTTCTTAGTTTAACCTCTTGCAATTACAAGCACTTTAAGCTCCTTAGATCCTTAGAGTGCTCCTGGATCAAAAATGTAATGGGAGAGATCCTCAATAGCAGAAGAGCCACAAATACATAAACGCTGTGCCTTGGGTGTTCTACTATAGTGGCTGACCAATACGGCCGTAGGCATTGATTCAAAGCGCAGAGATGTAAAAGCTGCTCTAAGGTTATGATTATCTATATTAACCGGATAAGGTGATCTAAAATGATCATTCTTAAATGATTTAAACCAGATAGCAGACTGTGATTTTAAAATTAAGTGTCTATCTAGCAGAGCATCATGCTTAAATACCCATTCTCTGAGATCTGAGTTATTTGTTGAAGAACTAAGGAGGTCATCAAGAATGGAATATCTTAGTAGTAGGTTATTGAGAAAACAACAACGATCTAAGTCTTTAGATAGCATTGAATTAAAGGCCAGTTGGCTAAACGAATCAGTGCTAGCAGCTCTGATTTTCTTCCAAGATTTTAGAATCGCAAGATACACCCTTAGAGAAGGCAAACCAGTTTCTGCTCTCACTAGGGCAACTGGTGTTCCCTTAGGAAGAGCCAGGATGCGCCTTAAAAACTGATTTTGAATTGTTTCAATACTAGTGAGTATATCCTCTTTCCATCCCCAAACCTTGGCACCATACAAGAGGTGGGGACCAGCTGTAGTGGGGGGAAGCCATCGTGGTTGGGGATTTTTTTACCATTCTCCATTGCAAATTGATAACTTTATGCTGATGGTTGATTAATGTTAGTGGTATCAGTAGTGTGTTTCAAAAACAGAGACTACATAAGCCCATTCAGAAAGATAAAGAGCCTGCAGTGATGCAAGTGATTAAAGTTTCAGGCTGGGTTCGGGGAGACACGCACAGCCTCCGTGTTCTTGTGTGGCTGAAAGGGGGAGGAGTAAAGACCGTCAGAGGCCACTTTGGGTCCTCACTGGGGAGAAGAGGGGGCATCGAAAATATCTCCGAGCTAAACTACTTTCCTTCCTTGTGTCTAGGGCGACTGCTAAGTGGATGTGTTTGAGGTGGATGGAAATCTTGCCGTTTGAATTAGCTAGCAGACATGTCTGTTTAGCTAACGAGAGAGGTCAGCTGACTGTAGGGGGAGGGGACGCACTGGAGGAAGGGCCCTGTGAGCCACCAGTCAGGCACCTGCAGGAAAAGATTTTCTTTTCTAGCAACTTCAATGCTTAAGTGGAGATTCTGAGAGCATCAGATACAGGAAATCCCGTGTTCTGACTATTAATACAGGCTGGGGACAAAGTGGAGAGGCCTGCTTTCAGAATGCAGTTTGAAACAACTTGGCCAAACTTAGCTTGCCGTTAAAGACTGCAGTACCGAGCAGAACATGCGAGAATTAAAGTCAGATGTTTGTAACCAGCTGTTTGTGATTTGATATGTTTGTTTTTTATCAGAGTGGCAAGATCCAGAATTTATGAGAGAAGTTGAGGCAGCCACAGGGGTTGATCTTGGATCTTCTCGATACACTGGGAAAGGAGGAAAAAACAAGGGAAAGAAAAAGAAATACCCAAACCTCACAGACCTGAAGCAACAAGCAAATACATCTCGTTCCCGTCTTGAAAAAAAAGTTTTTGATAAGTAAGAAGTGTTCTTGTATGTTACTATTACACGATCATGTGTGGTAATTTAGTTTTAATTTACTGTATTGCCTTTGCAGAGTATGAGCACCCATTTTTCAAGGGAGAATCTTCTGAAAATAGCTAAAATTATATTTGAGATTCATTTTTATCTTTTGATTTCTTTACAGTGTCTGTAGCTAGCTTTTCTACTAAACACATAAAATATACAAGGCAGCTAACAAAATCTAAAAATAACAATAATGTAGTGCAGAATTAAAGCAATAAAATGAATCACTATCCACAAGCAGCCAAAAAGAACAAAAGCTGCCAAAAATAGCAGCATTCAAACTATTCATCTCTTACCTGTTCACAAACCCCACTGAAAGAAAATATTTTTAATGAGATGTTGGAAGGCAAGGCTTGGGGGGGGGGCAGGGGAGTTAAGCTGTCTGGGGGGGGGGGGGCTCCCATTTTCAGTGCACATACCAACAATGCCCACCCATCTCACCTGTGTCCAAGGCTGGTACACCAAGCGGTGCTCCAGCAGAATACTGAAGATCACAGGCGGGTTTTTGTGTTGTCTGTTCAGTAGTGAAATTTGCAACAAGTATTAAGCATCGTAATCACTTAAGAGCTTCAAGAGAAGTGAAATTCCTGTTGGGCCATCCTGGAAGACCTGCTAACAGTGGCCGTTGCCTTTCTGCTCATAGGAAAAACTGGCTTCAGGTTTTCTAATGATGGAGCTGGTAGGTTTTCTTTCTTTTCTTTCTTTTCTTTTTTTACTTTTTTGTATTGCTTTTATACTAACTACAGCTACAATCTACAAGGGTAAAGAGATTGGAAATATCTAAACTAAAATACAGAGTTATGTAAGAATCATATGACAATTATATATTGTGTTCAAACCCTGGAGTTACCCTCCCACTTACTCTATAAGGAATAAAGATTGATACTTATTACTGCGAGATCCTACTAGTACAAGCATGTATATCCAAAGTAGGTATATCGAGCTGGTAGGTTTTCTTATTCCAAGGTGGTTTGCAGCAGGCTCATAACAGTTTCTCTGCAACTATTAAGCGGCCACTGGTTCGGGGGGGGGGGGGGGGCGACGACAATCAGCGCAATTCTGAAAAAGCAATTTTGTGATGTCCTGTCATGAGCAAGAATTGTCCAGTTTAGTCCCGTTGTCTCCTGCAGTGACCTTGCTGGTCAGTGGAGTCTTCATGTTTCTGTACCACAGTTGTGTGTCCCACGCTGTAATAAATCCCAGACTGGATTGTTTATCTATTTAATTAATTCATTTGCAACCCTGCCTTTCTCCTCAGTGGGTACCTCAAAGTGGCTTGCAGCATTCTCTTCTCTTCCATTTTGTCCTCACAACAACCCTGCGAGGTAGGTCAGGCTAAGGGTGTGTGACTGGCCCAGGGTCTCCCGGCGAGCTGCCGTGGCATGAGTGGGGCTCTGCTCCTGGGTCTCCCAGACCCTGGCCCAGCACGCTTAAGCACCACACAGCGCTGGCCTTTGCTGTTGAGGCTGCCCAGGCAGGGTCCTGCAGGCACGTTGCCACCCTTGCCGCTGCCACCTTTTTGATCCCGCCTCACTGCTTTCCAGGTAATTCGCGGCCCCGCTCAGGGTGTTGGTTTTGACCTTCAGAACCCTAAATGGTTCAGGCCACGACATCTGAAGGACTGCCTTGTTCAACGTGAAGTCCTGGGGTTGGAAGGAGCTTGCTGGGCCATCTAAACCAGCCCCCCTGCCCCGGGCAAGAAGTCTAAAGCAAGAGCAACATGTCACATGAATGTCCTGCTTCTGCTTGGTGAAGAGACACCCAGAGAGGAAGAACCCTAAACCCCCCCCCCACACACACACACCCCTGGGTGACAGGCTCTAGTCTCACTGTTAAGAGAGACTTCCTAATGTTCTGTCAGTTAAGCCCATTAGATCTACTCTTGTCCCGTGGAGCAACAAGGAACGCGTCTCTTTCCTCTTCCACTTCACAGCCCTTCAGGTGTCTCTTGAGGCTGAGCCCATCCGCCTTTCCCCAAAGGCATGGCATCTGCCTTGACCTCTTCTGAGCCTGTTCCAGTTAATCTGCATCATTCTTAAGATGCTGCAGCATTCCCACGATTCACTAGGCTAATGATTTCAAAGAAAGTGACAAGATGAGTCTGGCAGGATTTACTTTTGACTAGTCACTGCAATCTGCTCTAGTATCTCTCTGGGTCTCCAGGTCTCCCAGATCCTCCTTCCCCCCATCTCTGTTTTGGGGGTACCTCATTGGTCCTCTGCGATTTCTGAAAGACGGTCAGAGGGGGGATCTGGCAGGACATCAGCAAGTTCCTTTGTTACCTTAGGCTGCAGTTCATCTGGCCCAGAAGCTGGATTTCCCCTGACCAACTCCCTGTCGGCTCATTCAGGCTGGGTTAAAAACTCTTCTCTGACTCTGGCAAAACATCAGCTGAGCAATTTTGCCTTCTCTTTGTCAGCTGTTTCCCGGCAGCAGGTCTACTGCTCACCTCATCTTCCTCAGAGTACACCTGGAGGACCCCTCTTTGTTGCTCCCTTCCTGAACTCTCCCCACAAGTCTGGGCTACTCATCTGTACAGATGTGTGTGTCTGTATTTAAGTCAACTGGCATGCCTGTTGGCGTATCCCTCCATCCATTCCCTAGACCATGTCATTTTGAATGTCAGCTCTTTGATGGCTACTCTGTCTTCGTTAGATGTCTCCCATCTTTCGTCATTGGTTTTGTTTGCAGTTGTGCCTTCAGCGCCGCCGCCACCACCTCCTCCCTGCACATTTACCCATGCTGGCCCCTGGCCTCTGACAGGTTATCTAGCCACAGAATCTTGCCTTGTATTCCTTCCATCCGTAGAGGAGGGTCTGCAGGCGGCGCTGAAGAGCCAAATCGGCTTCTGTCTCCAGGGGAGGGCAGATCCCCAGTCCCTGTTCTGCCTGCTCTGCAGGAGCTGGACATGTCAGGCGCTCAACTCCTCTGTTTGTTCTTCATATCTTCAACTAGATTCCGGGGTGGTGGTGGTGGGGAACACCCCGTCCGTTGTTTCTGCTGCCTCGGGTTGTACAGACAGAGCATGGGTTTCTGTCGCGTGGGCACGGATGAGAGTGGCAGGTTATGCACAAACCAGCTGTAAAAACTGCATCAAGCGGATGAAATGCAACCCCCCCCCCAATAAAACACCTTGAAGAACGTGAAGGAAAACGACCACCAGTGTCGGGCATTAGGTGAGTCGCCCTTCAGTGCTTCTGCTCCTTCCTGTCTGGCAGGACACAGAGAGAGTTGTCTGCTGGAGGAGCAGAATCAGCTGGGTGGGACTTGTCCTGTGGGGTGCCCCCCAGGGTTCTGTTCTCTCACTAGCCCTCTTTCATGCGCATCTATGAGGCCACTGAGTCAGACTGCCTGGAGTTTGGGGATTGGGTGCCATCAGGATGCAGATGACTCCCAGCTGTGCATTTCATCATCCAAGCCTCTGGATGTTTTGGTCTTGGTTCCTAACCAGTGCATCAAGGTCATGGTCAGATGGCTTAGGCGGAAGAATCAGAATCAGAATCCAGATTAGCCAGAGGTGGTGCTGGTCTTCACAGCTGATTTAGAGGGACTGGATCCATTTGCCCTGGATGATGTGGAGTCAGCATTTGCAGTGCTCATTTGCCACTTGAAACTCAGGGTTGGGTGGTGACCAATGTTCCCTCTAAGCTGTGGAGTCTTGTGAGCAAAAACTTTACTTTGTGAGCTACTGCCATTAAAGTTGTGAGCAAGCAATTTGGCTACTGCATAAATTAGTTTGCTCTGGAGCCATGCTTCCTGAGCTAAGACAAAAATGTGTGAGCCGGAGGCCAAAAAACTGTGAGCTAGCTCACGCTAACTCAGCTTAGAGGGAACCCTGGTGGTGACCAGGAGGGCCTTCAGTCACCTGTATAGGGCTTGCCATTTCCCTTTTCCTGGAAGCCAAGGCTAACTAGACATTGCAAACTGCATGAGTTTGCCACGGGGATGTGTTCTTGATGGCAGCTGATGAGTAAATGCATAGCGGGGCCCAGTTCAGGCCAGGAGAAATCCCTGCCTCCTCCCCTTTGGGGAGCTACCCTACATTGCCCGGGGTGTTTCAGCTACTGAAAACAGCACGGAGCTGGCAGGAACTCCTCCTCCTGTGCAGTGGTCCCAGTCTGCTGTATGTTTACTCACGAGTTGACACCTGGAAATAGCAGCTGCAGTATGGGGAAGTTGTGCAGTTTGTCGCATCTAGTTAGGCTCTCAGCCAGTTTGGCCACGCTTGATGCATGCTTTTATAGCCTCACAGTTGGATTGCTGTCATGTGCAGTATGTTGAGCTGCCCTCGGAGGTGATTAGGAAGCGGCCTCTGAGTCAGAATGCAGCAGCCCGGTCATTGCCAGGGGCTAGTTGCTGGACGCGGATCTCGCCTCTCTTTCAGTGGCTGTATGAGCTGCTGGTCTTGTGATGAACTTCAAAGCCATCTACAGCTTGTGATGAACTTCAAAGCCATCTCCTCTCACATTTATAGCTTGCCTTTCTCCCTAGTGGGGACTCAGGGTGGCTGGCATCATTTCCCTCTGCTCCACTCTCTCCTCACAGCAACCCTGTGTGGTGGGTGGGTGAAGGTGAGGCCAGCCCAAGGCCACCCGTCGCGCTCCCGTGGCAGAGTGGGGGTGGGGACCCCATGGTCCCCACCCAGCGAAGACGGAGGTTCTGAGCTTGAGTCAGGTCTGTCCAGGGTTGCGGATCCCTCTCCCGACCTTCGTTGGGACGCCTCTGGTGCCTGCGTCGGAGGTTAGGAGTTTGGGAGTGCTCCTGGATCCCTCCTTAACCATGGAGGCCCAGGTGGCAGCCACTGCCAAATCTACCTTTTACCATATTAGGCTGGTTGGTTCCCTTCCTCGACCGCGATGACCTGGCTACAGTGATCCACGCGACAGTCACCTCAAGGCTAGACTACTGTAACGCTCTCTACATGGGGCTGTCTTTGTCGCAGATCCGGAAGCTGCAGCCGGTGCAGCCAAGTGGGAGCACATCCAGCCTGGGCTGAAAGCACTGCACTGGCTGCCAATAGCATACCGGATCCGTTTCAAAGTGCTGGTGCTTACCTTTAAAGCCCTATATGGCCAGGGTCCGACATTCCTGAGGGACCGCCTTTCCCCATATGTATCCTCAAGAGCACTTCAGTCGGGGACTCAACATCACCTGGTGATTCCAGGCCCCCGAGAGGCAAGGCTTGCCGCAACTAGGGCCAGATCCTTTTCAGTGGCGGCTCCTACCTGGTGGAATGAGCTCCCGGAGGAGATCAGGGCCCTGCGAGACCTCATACAGTTCCACAGGGCCTGCAAGACGGAGCTCTTCGGCCAGGCATTTACGTAGGAGCTGCCACTACCACCACCACCAATGGTGTGGGTAACAACTGGGTAAGAGGACGGCCCTTGAAGATCTGCCATGAGACCGAGCTGGGTTGGTACCACTGGATTGGCCACGTATTAGCTACAGGACACTATCTACCTCCAATGAGAGATTCCGGCACCTACCGTCGGAAGACCATCTTGTTCTTTATAGAGCACTTTACTTTGTGATTCGAGGATTTTATTTTTGTTTTAAGTTGTTTTAATCTTGTTTTATATGTGGGTATTGTTGCCCTCTTGTAAGCAGCACTGTGCCCGCTCGCGGGGAGGGTGAGGTAAAAATACTAATAAATAAATAAATGGTCTCCCACAGGATCGTCACACAACCCTCTGGCCGTGATGCCACTCTGGCGCATCCCCTCTGTGCGCGTACGGCAGTCTGTAAGCCGCCCCCTATTGGCTGTCTCCCCCCCCCCCAGGTGGCCCTCCTGGCTTCAGCTGGGGCCCATAGGCCTTCTCCGTGGGGGGGGGCGTGTTTGGATCCCTGCAGGAGGTGCTGCAAGGCCATTCTCTTTGCTTGGGCTTTTAGTGAGCTCTTATAGGCTGTATCTTGTGGGGAATGTTTTGTACTCTTTATTGAGAAGTTTGTAATTGTGATTTGTAATCCACCTTGAACCACGAGGAACTGCAGAATGTAAATATTTTAATGAATAAATGCAGCAACTTTATACTTAGGTTCTTAGTCAGCTTCTTAGCTCTTAGAACAACCACAGGAGTTAGTTGCCAGAGGACAAGCGCTTGACACCCTCTCCGGAGTAGCTGGACTCCTCCGCAGCCTTCGGCATAGACCAAGCCCCAAACTGAATGGCCTCCAGTTGTACAGGAAAATGTGTGCTTCCACCGGCCGTTGCCATGAATGCGTGGGTGGAGCATGGAAGTTGTGGCCACAGGGGCAGTGATGCACTTGGGAACCCTGCACCGCAGCTGCACCCAGAGCTGTCTGAAGTCGTCCTCCACATGGATGCCATGATGCGTAGATTGCCCTTCGTGGAAGGGAGGAAATGTTATTAAATCAAGAAGCAAAATTCCTTCTGTTATCACAAATATTCGTGTTGGAATAATCTCAACAGCGGCACAGGCTACTTTGAGGGATTTTCTTCATTTAGAAATTGTGTTCCTCTCCTTGTCTTGATGTAATGGTGGTTATGAGTAATGAAAACTCACATCGGTTTTCTCCTCCTCACAGAATGGCACATTGCCCGTGACAGTCTCTTATTATCTGTTCTTATTTTGAAGAGTCAATAAGCCATAAAGTTCTAATAAGCAGAATTTCACATCAGCTTTAGAAAATAAATTTTAAAAGTTGTTTTAGTTTACTGTGCTTTGTGCTAATGATTTTGGATGTGTGTTAGTGCCAGGCGTGGGAATCCAATCTGTCATATTTTAATAGGTTTCATAGTTTGCAGCACTAAACAAGATGATAACCTTGGCTTTATATAACAGCCCCAAATTACTTGAAATGTACAGGTGATAAACCCGGCCTCTAGTCTGCCAATAAAGTTAAGTGAAATTGCACACAGATCATCAGAGTGGGATCTCATTTCATTTACAGTATCTCACAGGCCAGTGGTGCTAATGTAAAAGCTACATGGAAGTGTCAAGGCCACTGTGTTGTGCTAAAGACTCACTTTTCTCTGCCAATTAAATCGCATTCCAGCTCCAGAGCCGTGACCACATGGCTGCTGCGCTTGCCCGGACTGCCGGCAGAGTTTTCCTTAAAGGGACACTCTGCTTAATCTGTTAATAAGCTTATCTGTTGCAAGTGCTCAGTTCAAAACAGTGTTTAAGAAGTATTCTCTGCCTTCAGGTATCTCAAAGTGGCTAGGGAGTGGAGTTGCTGGGGATGCAGAAGTAAAATTTGCTCGTGGCTTCCCAGAGTCGCGGGCTCAGTAGGAAGCGGCTGTTTCTGTCTGTGCATCACGCACTGAGGGGCTTTGCCCTTGTGCAGAGCAGCAGTTCAGAAACTTCTAGAGCTGTCATTTAGGTGCCAAAATCACCTCCCCATAGAGATGCAGCCTCCAAGGGGCCCACAATACAGACAGTGCCTGAAATTTGGTATGTTTTGTATGTTTCTGGTTGCAATTTGTAATCTTGCCTTGAGCCACAAGGAAAAGCAGGGTGTGAATATATTAATAAGTAAATAAATGGCACTTGACTGGCTTACAAAATGAGGACCGCTTTTATTGCTTGGTCTTAGAACAGTATTTTCAGCTGTTTCAGAGAGCAGAGCATTGGTCATGAGGTTGCTGCTGAAATGCCATTTGAGAGTCTGCCAAGCATACATCGGCAGAGGCTCAGTAGAGCCTGACTCCTTTTGCTTCTCACTGGCCCAACCTCTGAATACCAGCGCTAGGAGGTAACAGCAAGGGAAGGCCTTGGCCACTACATCTTGGCCCTCAAGGGCAGCTGTTTGGCTGCTGTGTGGGACAGGAAAGACCACATGGATCCAGCAGGGTTCTTCTTACCAAACAAAGGAACCTGACAAACGTCATCAGGTACAGAATCAAGAAACTAACAAGCACATGCCCTGACCTGGATAGCCCCGGCAAGCCTGATCTCGTCAGATCTCAGAAGCTCAGCAGGGCCGACCCTGGCAGGTACTTGGAAGGGAGACCTCCAAGGAATACCAGGGCTGGGAGGCAGAGGCAGGTAGTAATAAGCCATCTCTCTGAAACATCCAAGCCCCCCAAAAGGGGTTGCCAGAAGTCAACCATGCACACACAGAATACGTAGCAAAAAGTAAGCTACTCATCATTCTGAAAGAAAGAATTTCACAGAAGGGTTTTTCTGTTTCAGGCCTTTGTGGGAAGAAGTGTGTGTGGTTGGGGGATTTATTTGATCAATTCATTCAAAACATTTCTATTTCGCCTAACTTCTTTGGACTTTTAAGTGGTGAACAGTGTAGCAGCCCAGTGATGTTTCAACGTAAACCACTCTTGCAAGCTTCTTTTGTTTTAGGGTTTTCCCCCTTGAAAGTTATTCCTGTGGATGATCACGTGCTGGGCTTTAGGTGGTTTTTACTACCTATATGAAGGCTGGGACATAGGACTGGCTTCTTTCTGTGTCAGAGTTCCATTAAATCATCCCCATTCCCCCCCCCCCATTTCAGCTGGAAACCGTGAAACGTGTTCAGCTCCGGTTTGTTTTTATAGCTGTGGCTTTATTCCGCCTTAATGTGTAAAACGTTTTCAGTTCACCAAGTTCAAACCACTTATTGATGAGCAAAACACTGCAAACATTGCCCTCTAGAGGTCCGTGTTCCTTGCATTTCCTACAACAGGGTTTAAAATTTCCCTACGTAATTGTCTGCAATGGATGGGGGGGTATAAAGGGTAGGGAGTGGAAGATCATTACGCTGAAAGACCACCATTTGTTTATTTCTGCTAATGAGCCCGTTGCCGAATTAAAACTGTTTATATTGCTGTAGCTAATTTAGTTAACATAATGAATTAGTTCTGCTTCATCATCAGTGCAGTGTTGGAGGCTTGATTAGTAATTAATCATACTCCACTTCATTATTTTTGCTAACATATTCATAAATGTAGCCCACATTTGCATGAAACATCCGTTTAGCGCTCTTGTTTTCATCTTGTCTTGCTTTTTCTTGCAGAGCGGCAATGAAACGGGTGGTGAAAGCAATGAATCGAGTAGACCAAAGAAAACACGAAAAGTTTGCAAACCAGTTTAATTACGCACTCAACTGAACTGCGATTTGCAGTAAGACCACTAATGGTGCTGTGACTCACTTCCTTAGACTAATATTGTAATTAGTAACTATTTATTAATTGTAATTTAAATATCAAATAGTTGATAATGAGCATAAATTTATAGAAAAGAATTCTACATGTAACACACTGGTAACTTTTTGGCCTTTGTATTAAACAGAAGCTTTATGACTTGCATGGGAAGTCCCCCCCCCCCCCCCCCCCCCCCAGCTCCTGTCATTTTACAAAATGTGCAAAAAAACGGAATTGTTCAGGGAAGGCGCTTTGGTAGAGGGAGCAGCACTGGATCCACTTGGGAGGTGACCTCTGTTCCAGACAAGTGTGTTATTTTTCTTCCTGCCCCACTGCGTTAAATTGTTTTATTAGGAATCTATGCTGTTAAACGTTGTTCAACTGGTATCATATTTTTATAATTGGCTTACTGACTGACTGAATTTTGTAATTATTTTGTAACTAGAAGTAATGCCCGTTGTGGGAAGAAATACGAGATCTAGAAGGAAGCTCCAGATGAGTGTCCCAACTGTGGCTGGTGGGGCGGCAGAGGGAAGCGGAAAATGGAGGGAGGCAAGCCATGTTTCTTTCCTTCTGCTTAGCTATAAGGCAGGGCTGTCTCAAGTCATTTTGCTGCCCCAAGTGGGTAGAATGGGAGGACAGCCTCATGGTAACAGGTATGGTTCTCTCCACCTCTGACATATTTCTTGAGGGGGAGGGGGGTGTCATGCAGTGGCAGCTAAGGTAGAAAAGCACCTCCTCCTGTGCCATGTTTTCTGGGTTCCAAGGGTCTGGAAAGTAGTTCCATAGCTGATTACACAGTTGCCAACTCTGGGTTGGGAAATACCTGTAGATTTGAGGGGTAGAGCCTGGGGAGGGCAGGATTTGGGGTGGGGAGGGACCTCAGCAGGGTATAATGCCATAGAATCTATGGCCCAAAGCAGCCATTGTCTTCAGGAGAAGTGATCTTGCTCATCTGGACATCAGTTTTAATAGCTGGAGATCTCCAGGTGCCGCCTGGAGGTTGGCTTATGTTAATT